CCTCTAGGCCAGGCCTAGTTGTCACACTGTGCCACACTTCTCTGGCAGCTCAAATCCACCAGCAGCTCCACAGGACAACAAAGTGGTAGCCTCAGAAACTCCCTAGAGGTCAGTTATGCGTAGATTCCAACTTGATGGGCTTTCATTTGAGTTTGTTGTTTCCCACCCACCCGCTGCCTGCAAGTGATTCTGACTCAGAGCACCTCCCTCCTGGCTTTCAGAGGCTGGAAATCCTCACCAGAGGCCACAGCTTCATCTTTCTCCCATGCAGCAGCTGGTGGACTTGAACTGTCAGCCTTTCAGTTAGCACTCCAACACACAATATACTATACTTCCAGGGCTCTTTATTTGTTCTTTACTCACATTTTAATACTACTTTAGATTTTTAAATTTTTACTGTTGTAAATTGATTTTCTTGGCAGTACATTCAATACTCTTCTTCAGCCCCACAAGGCAAAGGCATCAAGTCTTCTTCTATCACCTTTAGTCATTATCCAACTCTCAGATGTATAGCAAAATATTATGAACAAATCCATGGATGGCCAAAAGAACAAATAGGTCTGTTCTGGAGGTGAAACCAAATTGTTCCTTGGAGGCCAGGATTTTGAGGCTTCATCTCACATATTTGGGCATGTTATGAGGAGGGACCAGTCCTTGTAGAAGCTTGGAAGGGTGGACGGACAGTGCAGGAGAAGGTGGTCCTGGATGAGATGGATTGGCACAGTAACTGGAGTAATAGAGACATGTTTGTTGGAGTCAGCGAGGCTGTCTCAGGACAGGACAGGGTTCAGAGGTATTGTGCATGGGGTCACTATGAGGCACAGGTGATTTGATGGCACAGAACAACAACAACAACAACATATTGATTTTCCAGAGGGGAAAAATGAGGATTTAGAAATGTTATTAATGCCTTTTCTTACCTCAACATGTTCCCCTTTTGCGTTCACTCAGTAGGTAATGATGCCAGCGTTTCCAGTTACATTTCCCCCCCACACACACACACACAAACACACACAGAGTCTTGTGTGTCTTGCTCGTGGGTGAGCCACAATGGCAAACTGAGATCACATCCTATCTGGAGAGTGACATTTATCCACTATATGATGTTGTCCAAACCACCGATTTATCTGTGTTGCACTTTCCTTATCATTAAAGTAGTGCTTGTGAGAGGCAATCTGAGTCATTATGAAGATTCTAGGGGATGTCAGTCCTGTATTTAGAAGAGTATCTTACACACAGAGGGATAACCTGCCGTTGTCAAGTCAGTTCTGACACCTGTAGACCCCACGTGTTAGAGAGGACAACCGTTTTTTTTTTGGCTATAAATTTTACAGAAGCAGACTGCCAGACTTTCCTTCCATCGTGGCACTGGATGGGATCAAACCACAAACCTTATGGTTAATAGTCAGGGAAAACCATTTGTGGCCCCCTGGGGAATTTATCATAATGATTGCTGTGTAGTCAGGTGCCTGCTACTCACAATGACTCTATGAGCAGCAGAACTGACCCTTGTCCTAGCCTGAGCTGTCCTCATCGTCTCTGATGTCACCATTGTTATAGTCACTGTGTGGATCCGTGGTGAGGAGTGGATCTGTGGTGAGGGGTGGAGCCGTGGTGAGGGGTGGAGCCGTGGTGAGGGGTGGAGCCGTGGTGAGGGGTGGAGCCGTGGTGAGGGGTGGATCCGTGGTGAGGTGCTTCCTCTCACTGTCTGATCCTCCACCTTTCCCAGCAGGATGTCTTTTTCCAAGGACCGACTCTTCCTAACAACATGATAATCATTGATGAGAAAAATGATCATCATCATTATTATTATTTCAGTGGCTATTTTTAGAATTTTTTTAGGTTTATATTTTAATCTTTTTTTCCCCCCATTAGCTTAGCTTTCATTGTATGGATAACTAAATTATTTGACAGAATTGTAATACGTCAGTTCCGTTTCTGCCACTTGAGAAGATCTTTCCGGAGACCCCCTGTCCCTAGGCCCACTGAGAACAACCCTCCTGGATCATTATCCTGAGAATTCCTTTCAATCCATTATCTCCTACTTGAATCCTTTGCTCTTGGATTCCAGATCTTTAAAGAAATATTCTATCTGACATTTTGGTGGGATACATTCTCTAATGGCTTCCTGAGAGAAAATGAGTAATTTTTTTTTTTAGCCCTCTAATGTTTGAAACATTTTTGTCCCATTATCATCCTTGGTGGAGTGGTCTCGCCACCAAATTGTAGATAGAGATTCTTTTCTTCAAAAATTCAAAAGAAGTTGTTTCTATCTTCCTGGTTGAGAAGTTTGGTTGTATTCTTATCTCTGATTCTTTATTATTTTGATCGGTTTGCACATTACCATTGTATACATTATGTTTCTTTTATTTACATTGTGTTTTATACCATCCAATCATTTGTACACATTGTTTCATTTATGTAAACTTTTGCTTTTTTCTCCCTTGGTATTTCTTTACAAGTTTTTTCCCCTTCCCTGTTTACTGCATTATATTTTTCTGGCTCCTTCCTTTTTCATTTGTTTTTGATACATGCAATTTTTGGTGTTAAAAATTGATTTTGTTTTATCTTTTCCTATCCTTTAAAAATTAACTCAGTGAGAAAAGTTTTCTCCTTCTACCTACATAAAAACCTGGGTCATCCCTGTGTCTTTTCTGAAAAGGTTAAAGGGAAAAAAATGTAAATAAAAAAAATCAATTTAACAAACACAAAAAGTGAGTCCTGGGTAATTCAGTCGAGGTAACAGCTAAAGCTTTCAACGTATTTAAAGTGACAGCTACTCCTGCCTGGTGAGACCTTTAAGCTGCAGGTGGTGAGGGGAGGGCAAGCGGCCTCTCCTCAGTCCTGAACTGCCTTTGACAGCTCTCATCGTCCTCACTCTTGTGACTGACCTTCACGTCTGACCCCACAGGGGAGGGTGGGGAAGAGCCTGACTGGCTAACTTGTCTCCACATTCGGATATTGTGTTCTTTGGACTTGCCAAGTGTTTAATTGCTTGTTGTGGGTTTTTTTTGGTTTTGGTTTTGGTCGTTTTCTTTTTAATTTCTTGGGTGCTCTTGTGGATTCCATACGGGCTCTATCATGAAGGCTCTGCATGTTTTGGTGGGCTCTCTTTCCCTTGGCACATTGTTTTGACAATCCATTCTGCACAGATCGTGCGTGTGTGTGTGTATGTGTGTTGTATGTATTCTCATTTCTCCCGTCCAGTTGGTGCCTTAGAAATGATTGAAGTTCTTCAGATTCTCCATCTATGGCTCTTTTTCAGGACTGAGTTGGATACCATCGGCTGTGTCCCACCAATGGGAGATGCATACCCAGCTTTCTGAGCCGTGCTATTGATGCTTATCTTTTGATTTAAGGTGAAGCAGGAAATGCGCCGCACACGACCTGGTAGTAATGATAGGGCACTTGTAACATGGTTTTCTCCAAAGAAATCTCTCTCAATTTTCCTTTTATTTTGACTTTTTTTTTTTTTAAATAAAAAAAATCTGTAGTGTGGTTCCCTCTACTCTGGAAGTCAGCCGGCTAAGTGGAGGGCATGGCTGGCATCTGCATGGCAGCTCCTCTTGGTGGCAGTCAGGCAAGGGAAGTTTCTGGGATCTTTTGTGTTGTGTGTTACTGTCCTTTTTGGCTTTCAAAGCTGCATGGGTGGCCCTGACCCCTAGAGAAGGGTAAGTAAGGGTGGGGTCGGGTCTGCGGAGCCTGCTCCAGGTGCTACCTTAAAATCCTTGATGAGGCTTGGGGACAGGAGTCTCCCTCCACTCCAGAAGTCAGCCGGCTAAGTGGACGGGATGGCTGGTACCTCCATGGTGGCTCCTCTTGGTGGCAGTCAGGCACTTAACACCACCACCACCAACAGCATAGAAAGAGAGCAGCGGGCCTAGCGGGTGGAAAGCCATGCTCCCAAGCCACAGGTGGGTGAGTCTACTCCACGGCCCTCAGGCCTGCCTTTAAATGTTTTTGGTGAAACATTCTTCTAGGTCATGTAACCCTGGTCTGTCCACTTGCCGTACAGAGGTAACTTGTGTCTTCTGTGAAGCTGAACACTGTGACACTAATGTGTCAAATCTGAGAATGGTTACCCATGGTGGATGGTGTTTGGTGGAGCTCCTGGATTAAAACAAGCTTGGAAGCAGGAGTGGCATCCACTTCCATAATAGCTTGCCTCTGGAAACCCCATGAACCTGGAGAAAGGATGAAAGTTATACAGGAGGTGTCCAGGACTTTCGTTCACAGGGTCGTTATGAGTCGCCTGTGACTTGACGGCACTTAACAACAGCAACAACAACAACAACAACAACAGTATGGTTAAGGAGTTTAAACATGAAAGAGTCTCTATTTCTTTTGGAGATGTGTCTTGCAGCTCCTTTTAGACTCTTGTATCTATCATATCTTATTGTGATTAGGTGCCATCAGGTGGCTCCTGACCCGTAGTGACCCTCTATGTGACGGACACCTTGCCCTCTCCTCGTCATCCTCACCATCTTTGCAATGCTCAAACCATCTGCTGCAGTTACCATGTCAGACCACGTCACTGAGGGTCTCCTTTTCGGACCCTCCACCTTTCCTGGCATGATGCCCTTCTCCAGGGACTGGCC